TGGGGGACAGTAAGGAGGGCAGAATTTGAAGAGCGGAGGTTGCGAGGTGGGGAGTAGGGCGATAATAGTTCAGACAGGTATTGAGGTGCCAAGCCATGTAAATCCTTATAGGTGAGCATGAGGATTTTAAAGTCTACGCGGAATTTGACCGGAAGCCAGTGCAGGGACTCCAGGACAGGAGTAATGACCTGTACCTTTAAAATCTAAAATTAAAAGCATTAAAAAAAAAAGACTAATGTTCTGCTTTTTTTTTCCGCAGATACTCCAAACACACGAGTGGAATGTGTAAAACCGTCGACGGCGGTCAGTGAGTCGTCTTCAATTCACAGCGACCGTTTCCTTTCTGTCCCACGGGAGTTTTCCGAGCTGGATCTCCACACGGTCAATGGTGCTTTCAACCCTTCTGACTACTTTGAGGACCAGAATGAAGCTGTATGTATGCCCCCATACAGTATGTCTGTATTGAGTGGAGGAAGAGAACCAGATTCACGTCATATATGATAGACAGCAGTTGAAATGTGCAAGCAATGGTTCAGAGCTGTTTCTGGGATTACAGTACAGAGTATATTGCATTTTTATGTTCCCTTATATTTGGAAAGGCTTTGGAATGGTTTGTGTATTTTTCAATCTTCCCTATATTTACATACTTTATGCTATTTCCTTTAACAATGTAGAGTCTGCTACTCACCCTTGCAGCAGTATTTATTTATAAATGGAGCAGAGAGATTCCCAGAAAAAGCAATGCAGTCCAATCCACTCCTGTTGAGTGTTGCTGACTTGGAATCATTCTTACCTTATACATGTTTTTTTGGGTTTGGAACATGACATTAGACTGTCTGTTGAAATACTCTAATCTTTTTGTACTGAAGAAACCACAACCAAAGAAATCCTTAGATCGGAGAATTTTCTGCTCAAATGTTTTCTCAGTATTTCAATCAACGCATCAACTGATGAGTATCTCTATGAGTGCATATCACTGTTTGTGTAACAGAGCACTTATGCATCTGATGCGCTTATACAAATATTAAAAATACAATCGCATTTCTTCCATAGAAATATATATATATATATGTATGTATGTAGAGTTATTATAAATGTGCAGTGCGTTGCTTAACCAACCAGAGCAGTCAAACAAGTAGCTTACTTTGGGCCATTAACTGACTTGAAATTTCATTATAGAATTAATTGTTTCCTGAAGTCCTTCAAAGCTCTTGCTGTATGTCCTGTGCTTTCCCTCCTTCATAAATAAGCGCCAAGCAGTTGCTTAATTGTCAGCTCTGTTGCCACACTCTTTTGAGTTAACTACTTTGATAATAGAAATGGATTGTTAGTGCTAAATAAAAAAAAAAGACCTTTTCCGCTAGCTGCTAAATCTTTTCAGTCTTTTTGTATTTCCACAATTTTTTTTTGTGTACTGAAGATGCCTTTATATCTGTATGTAGAGTTATTATAAATGATTATATATGATTTATATTGATTGAACATGTATATGTATTCACCACATTTATAAGGTTTTGATCCTTCAGTTCTTTCTCACTAAAAAGCAGTAGTTCACATCAGACATGAAAATAATTAAACGTATTACATATTGCACAGAGTGCTGAAGTTCTGCACCCCATACAAATACTGTAAGAGGTGGTCAATTGGCCTTTCTAATGTGATTGGTAGCTAATTTATCCTATCCATTTTTTTGGAATAAGCCAGGCTTGTTCCATACTCCTGCAACCTTTGTGTAAAGAAGTGCCTCTTGTTCTTGGTAGGACAGTACAGTATGTGCACTTCCATAAAGATTCCACTTGTGCTCTCTGGTTCCCGTTTCACTGTTCTTTGTGAAGACGTTCACTGTTGGATTTCCAGTGCTTTTTTGAGGTGTCTTTTTATTTTACTCTTAAAAAAAAATAATCTCTCAATGTTAACAGCCGTTAGAGGGCGTGGCAGGTGGGGAGAGTTTTGGTATCTGGGAATCTTCTGCGCACGCAGCAGAGAGGGTGGTTTAAAAATGTCACACCGTGCTGAAGGTTTTCTTTCTGATAAAATCTGCACTACTCCAGAAATATTCATCTGTGTTTTTGTGTTGACTTAATCAAACATGTACTACGTCGTGATTCACAAAATAGAAGCAACTTTACAGGAAAGTGCTAGAATATACGATTGCGAAGGCGCAAGAAATTGCAATTTGCGCAAATGTCAAGCAACTCAGACAATATACTCTTATGCACTATACTGTATAAGCCGCAAAGGCATAATTCAAAATAATTCGTATCAGACATTTCCAGAATTGTACGTTGAAGGTATGTTTGCTGTGTTCTTCGCGTTATGTGCAGTATCTGTTCTGGGTTCCTTGTGTGAGTTTCGGAAACTGAGACACTGCAGCTCTAAAAAAATGGAGGAAATTGTATCGAAGGTCTTTCTTTTGATTTCAATTTAACAGAAATAATGAATATATATACTCATTGGAAATCTGGTTTAAGATATAAGGGCCTTTATGATGTTCGGTGTACAACTAATTATTGTTTGTGACCATACTGTTATAGTTCTTTATTTTAAATCGAATTTAGGAGCCCCGGCGCAGAAACTGCAAAGAACGGACATCTATACGGTACATCTCGTTGCTCCAAAGAGTGAAAGTCCACATCCCGTACTGTAGTCGACGTTTTCTGGATGGTGCTCCAGTTGTGTCCACTTTAAAATGTTAAGTGTGTGGGCGTTGAAACCGGCAGTACGCACTTCACAGTACCTGAACAAGAAGACGGCGCAAACGAATTGTAATCTTTCAGTTCAGGGCATAAAACCCCTCAGGCGCTTCAGTAGGGTTTTCTGTAAAAGGAAGAAACCGGTTCCGAACTGAGAGGTGTTGATATGAGGCCTCTAAATTAAATATATATATATATGTGCACATATCACGAAGCAACAGATGATAATTAGGTTGCTATAGGGCACACCCTGGAGCCGGTTTGTTCCAGACAAGTGTCTTGGGCTCCCAGAGGCAGCATCCTCCGTTAAACGCAGAGTTTCTATGGTGATCGGCAGTTGAACCACAGCCTGCCTTAGTCCCGACGAACTGCTAGCAGAGTGCAGCGCCCGAATCTGAGCAGATGGATTTCATGTGCCTCATTGTGAGACGTTAAAGCGCCTGTTGACAGCTGGTCTGCATTGTCCAACTTCTTCTGGGAGAATTAAA